GTAAATATTAAAACTGTGTAGTTGCTAGTTTTATAGAGTGGGATGGACATGTTGAACATAATAGAAATCGTGTACTAAATTATGCTCCCTCAGAAAATTAAGTCATTATTATTACAGTCGGTGCAGAAACTTGGGAGGTTAAACATCATTTCATTTCATTGGAACTTAATGATTTTATCCACTTGATAGTGGGGCTACTTGACGAAAAGCGCGGCTTTCCCCTCCCTTACCCACTTCCCTAGACCCGACTGCCTTTACACAGCTTCGTTTTTCGTGCGAAAGATAAAAAATGTTTTTCACTCTTCAGTAAGTACACAAATGTTATTTTTCTAGTATTGGTGCAACGGTATTGACTGTTAGCTTCATCTAGAGTTACAAACTAAACATAACCTTGCACGCTACATCACTTGTGTATTATATACACTATAGACTGTTAGAGTGCTAAACTAAAAGTACATCCACACAAAGGGAGGGGATGGAGGTTAGGGCTAAATGATAAGGTCAGCTCAATGTTTCGCCATAGGTCACGAGATGTAAACAAGATAGCGCTAATCTCAACCCTGACCCTAACCCTGGACCTAACCCCAATGGAATTACGTGTCCTAACCTTATTTACATGTCAACGACATTGACAAAAATTGAGTCAACTGGTTTGTCCAACCTCATGGGTTTTCTCAGGGTCCTCCGGTTTCCTCCCACTGCTAAAGACCCCTACACGCAAGCGAATTATTGAAAAAAAAATTGAAACCATATTTTAGTCCCGAATTTACCTAGTTTGTGTCGAGTGGACGTTAAAACCCATTTCTCTCTCTCTCACATCCACACAAATCATGGTGTAGGCATCCACCGACATGTTATCTGAATTAAATTTATTTCCTATCCACTCCTAAAACCAAACGATATGACAGATCCACAACCCATATATCACGATTACAGCAATAATACTCTCGGGCCTTGAACATAAATAAGGGGATCACGTGGCTAAGTGGGTAAGACGCTGGCTCGCTAGCCTGGAGGTCAGGTGTTCGATCCCTGCATTGGCCGAGAGAGTTCATCCAGATTTTCCGGCATGATTTCCCCTTGTCAGTGATGCACGATTGAGGGCCCGACAAGGACAGCAGTCTAGTCATTCGCATGGGACGAGGGGATCACGTGGCTAAGTGGGTAAGACGCTAGTTCGCTAGCCTGGAGGTTGGGTGTTCGATCCCTGCATTGGCCGAGAAAGTTCATCCAGATTTTCCGGCTTGGTTCTCCCTTGTCAGTGATGCAGGACGGAGGGGCTGACAAGGAAAGCTGTCTAGTCGTTCGGATGGGACGAAAAACCGAGGTCCTATGTACACAATGGCGTGCACGTAAAAGATCCCTTGGCAGTTGGAATTCGATATAAGAGTAGGCCGTAGTGCCCCTGTCCGGGCAAAATTTCCCTCATAGCACACTGTATGGCGTATGCCCGTCTTCATTAGCCCAGGTTAGGATCAGAACAGTAGGACGTTAAACCCCATTTCATTTCATTTCATTTCGCATGGGACGAAAAACCGAGGTCCCGTGTACACATTGGCGTGCACGTAAAAGATCCCTTGTAAGCTGGAATTCGATATAAGAGTAGGCCGTAGCGCCACTACCCGGGCAAAATTTCCCTCATAGCACGTTGTATGGCGTATGCCCGTCTTCATTAGCCCAGGTTAGGAGCAGAACAGTAGGACGTTAAACCGCATTTCATTTCATTTCTACACATAAATAAATAAGACGGAGATATAACACGAGGTGAATAACCGCTATCCTATATTTTGAAAGTAGGGCTCTATTTCGTATATTGTGGCGAGTGGGTTTAATGTCCTACTGTTCTGCTCCTATACTCGGAGACGGGCATACTCCATACAGTGTGCTTTGACGGAAATTTTGCCCGGACAGCGCGCTACGGCCTACTCTTATATCGATTTCCAATTGCCAAGGGACCCTTTACGTGCACGCAAATGTGTACACGGGACCTCGGATTTTTGACCCATGCGAACGACTAGACAGCTGCCTTTACCACATCTATATCTGGAAGAAGAACTAGACAACAACACTAGTGTAAATATAAATAATCTCTCTCTCTCTCTCTCTCTCTCTCTCTCTTCCCCGGTTGTACGTGACAAGGAGTAGGGTGCCATGGGTTTTCTGCGGGTCCTCCGGTTTCCTCCCACTGTCAAAGACCTCTACACGCAAGTGAAGTATTCAAATAAAATTGATCCATATCTTAGTCCCGAAATGACCTAGTTTGTGTCGAGTCGACGCTAAACCTCATTTCTCCATCCTTCTCTCTGATTTATTATTTTACTCGGTTATTTACACCTGAAGTTTTTTACAATCAAACGAGGCTGTCAAACATGCCCCGCAGAAAATATAACAGTCACGCTGTGTTAAGCACAGACTTGCTTGCTTATGAATATTTATTTTCAAATCAGTTTTTAAAGAAAGACTGTCTCCATGGCAACAGCAATAACAACCGTGTCATACACACTCAATTGGATAAGTTCGCACCCGAGACTTAATCAGTGGGGCTAGCTAAATCTATTTGTTAAGGCCAGCTAAATTTTTGTCAAAAACGCTGAGATATAGATAAAGTTAGGGCATGCAATTGTTGGTGGGATTGTAGGTTAGGGTTAGGGTAAGCATTGGGGCTAGGGTTAGGGTTAGGGTTAGGGATTAGCGCTAGACCTGTTTACATCTTGTGACCTATGACGAAAATTTGAGCTGGCCTTATCATTTAGCACTAATCCAGTGTGGCGTGAACTGTGTTGCTGATTTGTAGCAGTATTACAAAAACACTATGACATCACGCCATTATAGCCTACATTATCAAATAACAACATAAAATTCAAATTATGTTACATCAAGATGTCGACTTCATTAAAAACGGATCCCACTAGATTGTGAATATCAAAATCAAACAAGAGATGATAACAGTCTGAAACATGTCGAATCGTAATCCACGACAATTCGAACGGAAACTGAATAGCCAATGGCTGATTTGAAGCCGTAAAAACAAGCATCAAACTCCATCGTCTTAATGAACACAGCGGATTGGTTAGCCGAAGGATTTAACGTGTCTGTCATTGAAGGCAAATAGTGTGGCTTCGATTCCCCGCTTGTAATTGACAAATATCTTGGGCTCCCTCCCACTGTTTTAGACCTCACGTACATACAAATTATAGAAATAAACGTTATCCTCCTCTCACAGTTTGGCTTCGGGCTATGGTGGAAGTTCCCACAACACGGTCTGGCTATCGGGTTACGGTGGCCAGACCGTGTTGTGGGAACTTCCACCATAACCCGAAGCCCAGACCGTGTTGTGGGGACGTCTGGCTATCGGGTTACGGTGATTGTCTGCGATATCACTTCGGTGGAAGCGGACGTAAAATACAACTAACTAAGAAGAAGGGTTACGGTGGACGTCCCCACCACACGGTCTGACCTACAGGTTATGGTGGATCGACTTCCCCACAACACGGTCTGACCTACTAGCTATTGTGGATGTCCCCACAACACGGTCTGGCCTTCGGGTTACGGTGGACGTCCCACAATACCGTCTGACCTTCAGGCTATGATGGACGTCCCCACAACACGGTCTGACCTTCAAGCTATGTTGGACGTGCCCACAACACGGTCTGACCTTCAGGCTATGATGGACGTCCCGACGAAACGGTCTGACCTTCAGATTCTATAGAAGAATGACAACAATACATTATTGATCTATTATAAAAACTATTACATGCATCATTATATTTTGGGTGAACTTTTGACATTTGAGGTGAATAAGGGGGGCGCCCCGTGGACTAATTGAAAATCAACCTGTTTACACGATCAGCTGGTTTTTATCATATTCGGTGTTTGTTTTCTATTATCCTGCTTGTTTTCTATTATCCAGTTACCAATACTTCTTTGTTCTATTATCCAGTTTCGAAATCTACTTTGTTCATCAGAGGGGGCGTTCGGTGGCTTAATGGTTAGCGCGTGCGCACTGTATCATAAGATCTGTCATTGAGTCAACTGGCGTGGTTTCGATTCCCCGCTTGTACGTGACGAGGAGTAGGGTCGCCTGTCTAACCTCGTAGGTTTCCTCCCACTGCTAAAGACCCCTACGCGCAAGCGAATTATTGAAATAGAATTGAACAATACGTTAGTCCTGAAATGACCTAGTTTGTGTAGAGTCGACGTTTAACTCCATTTCTCTCTTTCTCGGTTGTTAATCAGCCGGTTGCGTGACCAAATGATTTAATGCGTGTGCGTTGGCTCTTAAGGTCTGCCGTTGGCGTGGTTTCGATTCATCACTAATACTTGACAAGGAGTAGGGTCCCTTTCCGACCTGGTGGGTCTTCTCCGGGTCCTCCGGTTTCCTCCTATAGCTAAAGATCTCTACATGCAAGCGAACTATTGTAATAAAATTGAACCATATGTTAGTCTGAAAATAATTTAGTTTGTGTCAAGTGACGTTAAATGTTTTTCATAAACGTTGGGAGGGGGGGGGGGGGCAATGGTCTAAATCATAAGGTATAGCATTGTCAACTGGCGTGGATTTCCATATTACTCTTGTACGCGATAAGGCGTAAGGTCGCATGTCTAACCTCGTGATTTTTCAGCTGGTCCTCTGATTTCTCTCTACTGCTAGTGACCCCTACACGCGCAGAAATTATTGATATATAATTGTACACCATATATATATATATGTTAGTCCCGAAATACCCCTCCCCTTTTACTGCACGCCACTCTTTTTATTTTTCATCTCGACAAACATATTTATTGTGGTCAAGGTAATATTCTATGCGCTATACCGGGATGTATAGAAATGACCTATTTTTACCTGGTGAAGTACAGATAAGGGTACACCTACATGTGTAACAGTAACATCTGCCTTTCATTCAAATTATCTGTCAAGAGTTTGACAAGTGAGGGGGCGTGGTTTTACAAACTAGTGGAGTTGTTTGTGTGTGGGGAAATAGTTTATATTGTGCAGCGGGTGTGACGTGGTGTTGTTATTAAAACGTAAACTATACATTTTGGATATACTGTGTTATTGTGCAGCATATACACTTTCCCGCGGATAGTATTATACTTGTATGTGTGTGTGTGTGATTTTGATAGGTATCTATTTACGTTTTTCTCTGTAAGGTAAGCAACGTTTTTCTCTTATTATTTATTTTAAAATTATGTTCTCAAATTATTCTAGTATTAATTAAGACTTTTTATGTATATTTTCTTATGACGTAATATGTCTTATATTCTTCGAATTTCAACTGTCAAGGGCTTTGTTTATATATTTGAACTACAACTGAGACGTTTCAAACTGTTTCGTATTTCAATTAAATTGTTTGCGTATTAACGAAGGCTTTGAATCAATGTTACAACATCCCTTCTTGGAATTCAAACTGCCAGGGGTTTATTTATTTGAACTGTGACGTTCCATCCTGTAGAAAACGGGGTTCACACATTAAAATCCTTTGCCTCGACACAGTCCGTGTCGTTATCGGAGCGAGTGTCCAAACGGCTGCCTTCCTGGTTTTAATTTATAAAAACCAACCACGTCCAGTAGCAATAATGTTGTTGTTAATTTATAAAAACCAACCATGTCCAGTCTTTGTTAAAGTAGTGATATTGTTTTTAATTTAGAACAAAAACAAACCACGTCCAGTAGCAATATTGTTAATAATTTATAAAATCCAACCAGTGTAAATTATGGTTATCTACAAATTGAATCTTATACACTTTCCCTTTTCTCAAAAAAATAAGTTTGAAAACCCAGTTTTTTTAAAATTGATAACACATGATAACTGAAAGACTCCTCACATTAAGTACCCTTGGAGAAATATAAAGAATGGTTAAACACCAGAGTCTAAACTCTTTCAATTTCTAAATTACGAAACCTTTTCAATAATTGATATATATATTCAACAATAAATATACATATTCAACAGTTAATATACATATTCAACAGTTAATATACATATTCAGCAATTGATATACATATTTAACAAATGATATACATATTCAACAAATGATAAACATATTCAACAGTTAATATACATTTTCAACAATTAATAACATATACAACAATTAATATACATATTCAGCAATTGATATACATATTCAACAATTGATATACATATTCAACAATTAATATACATATTCAGCACTTATTATATATATATTTAACATTCAACACTAATATACATCAACACTTAATATACATATTCAACAATTGATACATATTAGTAAGATTAAAATCTGATTTATGATGAATAATTATTCTAGTTTCTAAAGACAGTACAACGTTTAACACATAAGATAGGTTTCAGTAGGCAGGTGGTGGGGGGGATTCGGAATTTATTTCCACGCCGTAGGAAGGGGTTGACGAATGTCTGTCGACATGGGGACTAGGGGCGCCGATTGCTAGAGACCCCTACCCGCTAGCGGATAATTAAAATAAATTTGATCCGTATGTTAATCCCGAAATGAGCTAGTTTGTCTGAGTGTGTGTCTCTCGCTTGTTAAAACCATGTTAAAGTGTCTTAACTTGACACCGAGAACCACGCCATTGTTTACAACATTTAACCCCACTAAAAGGTTACCCAGTAAACGCACACTGATCACCAGTAAATATGCGTTTCGTCGTTTTCATCAATGTGTGGAGTGGATGGCCGAATAGTTAGCATGTGCGCGCTGTATCATTACGTCTGTCATTGAGTCAACGGGCGTGGATTCGAGTGCCCGGTTGTACATGACAAGGAGTAGGGTCGCCTGTCCAATCTTGTGGGTTTTCTCCGGGTCCTCCGGTTTTCTCCCACCGCGAAAGATCCGTACGCGCAAGCGAATTATTGAAATAAAATTACACCATATGTTAGTCCCGAAATGACCTAGTTTGTGTCGAGTGGACGTTAAACCCCATCTCTCTCTCTCTATCTAGATTTAAAAGCAAATCTAGGTACTCTACCAACCCCATTAAAAGACAGATTCTACATGGAAATGCCAATTAAGTTATGTGTAGATTTGTATGGTTTCAAAAATACCTTATAATTCATATCGTCACTGTTAATACCTCAAATATTTTTGTTCACTTTGATTGATTATTATTCAGTCTTGATATGAAGCTGTAATTTGATCGTATTTGAATAAAATTATGCACCCAAAAACCTATTATTGTCTGGGGTCTTAGATTACCCCTTGTTGCCGACAACGTTTTTTGTGCAACGTGACCGCACAAGGGTTAAGGGATACTATATTAAATTCTAGAACAAGTCTTTACATTATTAATAAATGTGTCGGGAGTATGTTTGGGTGAACAATAGGTGTAAATGGTTAGATAAAATAGTACGTGGAGGCGTAAAATGAGTAAAAGGTACTAGTTTATATTATTACGTTTTGTCAATGCCGTATAACGTAACCTCAACGTAGAATTATACTGGATATAGCCTTAAATGAAATGAAATGAAATGGAGTTTAACATCCTACTGTTCTGCTCCGAACTGGGCAATGAAGACGGGCGTGCGTCATACAGTGTGCTATTAGGGAAATTTTGCCCGGACAGCGGCACTACGACCTACTCTTATATCGAATTCCAACTGTCAAGGGATCTTTTACTTACACGCCAATGTGTACACGGAACCTCGGTTTTTTGTCCCACCCGTTCGTCCTGCACCACTGACAGTGTGAAACCGCACTGCAAAATCCAGACGAACCTTCCCGAACATGGGTCCTCCAAGTAAGCGAGGTAACGTCTAACTCACTGAGCCACCGTGGCTCTCAACTATCCTTAAAGGTTACCCAGTAAACTATTTACCGCCATTCGCACGAGTCTAAGAACGTTTAATATGATTAGCACATAGTTTGGCGTTATGTCAAATTTTAGATTAACACGTATCTTAATGAGAATATGTTCTAGAATTTATCGCCATTGAACCTATTTGTCTATAAATAGACCAATCAACCTATACCCATGAAAAAAAAATGGTAGAAATTCAACACCTTGAGAAAATAAGTGTGCAGATAAAGATAACCTTCGGCCGTAATACACGTTCTGTGACGTAATTAGACATTCAGTCAGGCAGTGTGCTATGGGGGCATTTGTTTGGTTATTTTCTCAAGATAGAGTTCTTTAAACTTTACGCTGACTCGCTTGTCTGGAGATCGGGTGTCCGATCCCTACAGTGGCCAAAAAAGTTTATCGTTCAGATGAGACAAAAAACGAGGTTGTGTGTATCCATTGGGATGCGTAAAAGATCCATTGGCAGTTGGAATTCGATATAAGAGTAGGCCATAGTGCCGCAGCCTGGGCAAAATTTCCCTCATAGCAGGCTGAATGGCGTATGCTTGTCTTTATTAGCCCAGCCGGAATAGAACAGTTTGACGTTAAACCCCATTTTGTTTCATTTATATTTCATATATTGTTAGATCTCTTGGAGTAAATATAACTGCTATCATATGTACACACTCAGCCACCCCTCGAGATTTAAAAGATAAAATATTATAAACTTGGTGGTATTATCACACAGGACCTATATCCTTTATTCAATTTATATACATTCTTTGTAAACATTGTACGGCCTTTATTAGTTACCAAGCGAGCAACAGAGAGAAATGAAGGGTCGGGGGGTAACGTCCTACTGTTCTAGTTCGACTAGGCTAATGAAGACGGGCATACGCCATGCAATGTGTGCTATGAGGGAAATTTTGCCCGGGCAGCAGCACTATGGCCTACTCTTACATAGAATTCCAACTGTCAAGGGATATTTTACGTGACGCCTATATGTATACACGGGGCCTCGGGTTTTCGACCCATCCGGACGACTAGACAGTAAAGTTGTCCTTGTCAGGCCCTCCGTTCTGCACCACTGACAAGGGAACATCAGACCGGAAAATTCCGATGAACTCTCTCAGCCAATGCAGGGATCAAACACGCGACCTCCAGACTAGCGAACCAGCGTCTTACCCACTTAGCCACCGTGGCTCCCTTTTAATGTCCTACTGTTCTGGCCCGACTAAGCTAATGAAGACGGGCATACGCCGTGCAGTGTGCCACGAGGGATATTTTGGCTGGACTGCTGCACTACAGCCTAGAGTTTATTTCGAATTCCTATTTGAACTATTTTATGATTTGGTCTACTTTACCTAGAATAAACACTGCTTTAGTATGTACCTTTCGTATTCATCACTACACCAAGAAATATTTACAAGTATAATCAGATAGAGTTTTTTTAGCTATAAAATTTGATATAAAATTTTATTAGCGTCACTCAAAAAAAAGATGTCATTTACGTCTTTTGAAAGCGGACATTCTCCTGACATAATGTAATTTATTTCATAATAAAGACACACCGTGTTGTCGTATCTCGAGCTTCACGGTCAGTTAACCATAGCAGGACTCCGATTTTCTCTTATTTAAAGCCGCATTATGTAAAATGTCTGTATAATAGTTCAAAAATAGACCGTTTCAACTTTTTAAAGAGTTATATCTGCCAATTGCAGGTCTTTCTTTAGACCTGAAATGTTATCTAAATTATTAATTAGACATTAATTTACTTATCCAGACCATAATCTACTCCCGATGTCATCGTTAGTCTGTGACATTTAATGGATTAGAATCCGATCTGCTGCTCAACGCTTATTGATTATTCATCAAAAAGCCATGAGAAAAGCCATGAGATTGGACAGGAGTTTTCTCCGAGATTTCCTGTTTCCTGGGATAATAAGAAAGTTTATGAAGGAGTCTTTTCTCCCAAAGTTTGGGAACAGGCTTCGCCTTTGTAGCACCCCTCTCGCTTGACCAAAGAAATTATATAATTCATTGTATTTCTAAATAAACCTTAAATATTTAATGTTTGTTTTTATTGCAGTTTGAATCAAGTCTCGTATATTGGTTGGGAATATTCTACCGAAGAACAAAATTACCGATTTCTATTACATGTTTTGTATTTATTGTGACGTCATCAACACGTGGGGGCTAAGTTACTTTCATAAAGTCTTGATTGGATGAATGTGGCACTGTTAAAGTGGCGTCATCAAAGCCTACGGTATAACCACGTGATTTTCTTCAGGATAAATACATAGTGGACTTATTTTCATTCTGACAGGAATAGGCTAAAATCAATCAACATGGTGGACCCAGCCAAATATAGTTACAGAACGGGAATCGTTAATTCTTTCACACCATGGGATTACGTCATATTTGCCGCCATTTTGGTAATTTCGGCGGGAATTGGGTTTTATTTCGCGTTTAAAGACCGGAAGAAGAAGAATATTCATGAATTTTTACTAGCAGGGAGAAATATGAGTCCTTATCCTGTAGCGCTTTCCCTATTGGCTAGTTTCATGTCCGCCATTACTTTGCTTGGTACACCAGCTGAAATGTATAAGTAAGTACACAGATTTTAATATTTTTTATTCATTGGTAGATTAATTGTCGTATTTATTTTGTCGATATTGTTTTAAGCTATCCTACTATGTGTTGGTGGATTGGTTGTCGTATTTATTGTTTTGTCTATTGTTTGTTTAGCTATACTACTATGTATTGTTTTTAGCTATACTACTATGTATACTACTATGTATTGTTTTGTTTAGCTATACTACAATGTATTGGGTTTTTTTAGCTCTACTACTATGTATTGTTTGTTTTTTAGCTATCCTGCTATGTATTGGCGGATTGGTTGTCGTATTTATTGTTTGGCTATTGTTTTTTTTTTAGCTATACTACTATGTATTGGTTTTTTTTAGCTATACTACTATGTATTGGTGGATTGGGTTGTCGTATTTATTTGTGGTAGCAGCTGCAGCTCATATTTTTATACCAATATTTTATAGAATGCAAGTTACCAGTGCTTATGAGGTAAGTTTCGTTATTTTATCTCCGTCATGGTACGAATGTCCGAACGGTTAGCGTGGGCGCTGTATCAGTAGGTCTGTCATTGAGTTAACTGGCGTGGTTTCGTCTCCCCGGTTGTACGTGACAAGGAGTAGGAACGCCTGTCCAACCTCGTAGGGTTTCTCCGGGTACTCCGGTTTCCTCCCACTGCTATGTTATTCCCGAAATGAGAGAGAGAGAGAGAGAGAGAGAGAGAGAGAGAGAAAAGAGACATGGAGTTTAACGTCCACTCGACACAAACTAGGTCATTTCGCGACTAACACATGGTTCAATTTTATTTCAATAATTAGCAGTGGGAGGAAACCGGAGGACCCGGGGAAAACACAGGAAGTTGGACAGGCGGCACTACCCATTGTTACGTACAACTGGGGAATTATAAATGAGAGGTATTTATGAGTAAAACTATTAAGGTCCCCTGCTGTACTCTGATCAAAAACCACTTACTAACAAAAACGTCAAATACTGACGACGGAGTTATCCAGAGAATTACTTATCAAACTGGTTTTTAATCAGCAAACCGGACGTCAAAGCCGAACAAGTTACACTGACATTGTTATGGTAAATAAACTGCGCTTTTAGATAAATGAAATACGTAACAAGATAGATATAAGGTTTAAACAGGTGCGCGTGTGATTAATGACAGATTTATAACATATACTGACGTCATTAATCAATTAGGTAAAAGAAAGGGATGAAGTTTAAAAGATGGCCTCTCCATCCCCGGCTTTACCTGCCCCGTAGGCGTTCTCGTCGTTATGTAGAAAATGATTTGTTAATAACTGGAGGTTCTCGCGGCTAAATCAATTTGTTAAGGCCTGCTCATTATATGTCAAGGTCGTTGAGATGTAAATAAGGTTAGGGCACGTGATTGTTGGCGAGATTGTAGGTTAGGGTTAGGGTAAGCATTGCGGCTAGGTCCAGGGTTAGGGCCAGGGTTGGGATTAGCGGTAGCCCTATACACATCTCGTGACCTATGACGAAAAATTGAGCTGGCCTTATCATTTATCACAAACCACGTTCTCGCCGGTTTTCTTTTGTTAGACCGTCCGTCCTGCAATACCGTGAAGGAGAATACGACACGAGGTTAGAAAACCCGGTCACGTGACTTTAGCTTGGATAGTGCAGAAAAATAAGACGTTCATCTCCCTCTCTCTCTCTCTCTCTCTCTCCTCTCTCTCTCTCTCCCTCTCTCTCTCTCTCTTTCCCCCCTCTCTCTCTCTCCCCTCTCTCTCTCTCTCCCCTCTCTCTCTCTCTCCCCTCTCTCTCTCTCTCCCCCTCTCTCTCCCCCCCCTCTCTCTCTCTCTCTCTCTCCCTCTCTCTCTCTCTCTGAGCCATGTTATGTTACTAGTAGTATAATTGTTTTAAGTGTAAATATACACCGATCTAATCTTATATCAAATAAACTGACATCTATTCATCAGCATACAATGTTTACTGACAACAATTTTAATATCTACATGTATTGACACTGAGGCTTTGTGTTAATACACGCCCCATCATATAAACACAACGACCCTGTGTTAATACACGCCCCACTTGATGCAATATAATATACATAACATGTAAATACAACGCCGAGGGTTGGGATGGCCTAGTGGTCTAGAGAGTCTAGCTGGTCGATCATTTGTCTGAGATATCACCGTCGGTGGAAGCTGGCGTTAAACACTAAGAAGAAGAAGAAGAAGAATATCACCTCTGTGGAAGCGGACGTAAAATACAACTAACTCACACACAATACCACGCTGCACTTGTATGACACCTTAGCTTACGGCTATATAGCCCCCGGATCCATTCATTTATCTGATATGTACGTTTGTTTGTGATTTCTGCGTATTGTGTCTTGTCCGTACTTTTGTTTTGTGTAATTATGTATGGTGCAGTCCACTTGCGCTTACTATTAGTTTATTAAAACAGGGACAGGGTGGGTAGACTGGGGTTCCTGAGTATGTAACGCCCACATTGAAATATGGTCGCATATTGTCGCCCCGTCTGTCCGTCCGTCCGGCGTCCACAATTGCTTGTGTGCGCTCTAGAGGCTGAAGTTAATATTCGATTGACTTTATATTTATACACAGTGTTTAAGGTCGTGAGACGACGAGGCCTATTGATTTTCAGTGATTTCCGATAATAAGTGCCAGAGTTATGGCCCTTGATCACTTTGAAAAATCTCGTGGACGCGGATATTTTGCCCGGATGTTACGCCCCATATGATTTAATGTACTTTTTATACGCCCACTTTGAAATGTGGTCGTACATTGTCGTCGCCCTGTCTGTCCGTCGGTCCGTCTGTCTGTCCGTCGGTCCGGCGTCCACAATTGCTTGAGTACGCTCTAGAGTCTAAAGTTAATATCCGATTGACTTTAAATTTATGCACAGTGTTTAAGGTCATGATATTAAATGTTTCGTATTCTAAATGTTAGCATGGGACAGAACTAAAAGCCATACAATTTTTAATTATTTTTGGATAATTACTTAATGAGTTCTTACTCTTAATCAGATTTTAGTGTATTATAAATGTTTCATTACCGACAATAGAAAAAATTTGTGACAACTCTTATTGACTGCACGGACGACTTAGCTGCGTTGGGCGTATGTTTCGTTGTCTGGCAACCTATCTTTGTTAGTGCATTAACACCTTTGATTTCAAGGCCATTACCACGTAATCACCTTGATCCTGAAAGCAAATTTGGTAATTTACGTTTTGCTGTCTGGATTATCTCCTGGAATATTTATTGACAAACCCAAATCAAATCTCAAACCCTGAAGTGCTCTACATCTGTTGGTTGCCTTCTGCGCAGCTCGTGACCAGCACGTGATGTCAAGGTTGCCGTATGCATGGAACAAAAACAAAAACTAAAGAGCAGGCCAGGAAGCGCTGCCATGGAGTTAGAAAAGAGACATGTCAGTTTGTGGACAAATCTTCAACTTGAAGCACCATGTTTTCTGGGACCATCTGTTCTCTAAGATTTATTATAAAGAAAGGACACTTTCTTGTCAGTGAGAACGTTAGGACTTGAAATAACTCTTGACTTTACTTAAATTTCATGGCAACGATCTGGAATCAATAAATCTATTACAATAATGTTAAATCATATTGTATAAAAGCCGGACAGAATTACGATAGAAAAAACTTCCCGTACTTTAATTTAGTTCCTGTATTTAAAGATACATTCTGGGATATTCGATATCGAGTTGGTAGTTCCCACTATAAAAGTTAAAAACTAGATAATGCAAAGGCAATTTGCTGAAAATTCCATTCAAATTGATCCACTATGAACCGAGAACTAATGCGGTGGACACACTAGCCGAATGATTCGGCCGAGTCGACGTCGAAATTCGCCTAGTGTGTCCACTGTCATTCGGCCGAATTTCTTCGCCCGAATCAAACAGGTTTGATATATTCGGCCGAATTATATTCGCTTGGTGTGTCCGCTTTGCGGAAGCATTCGGCCGAATATAGAATTTATTAGCCAATCACCACTCATATCGAGAAGTCACGTGGTAGATTGAAGACATAGACGCCGCCATTTTTAATCATGTGACGTGAAAGGTGATGCAATCGACAGGTTGAATCGGGCGAAGCATTCGGCTAGTGTGTCCACCCTTTCGGCCGAATAAAATTCGGCACCGATTGATTCGGCCGAACGATTCGGCCGATCGATTCGGCTAATGTGTCCACTGCTCTTGCGGTTGAAATTTCCGCCTAGCCTCGATCATCATTACTAAAGTCAGTACGATAAACAGCAAAGTCTCGATTATCCATTTAATTGTTAAATCGTGAAGGAAAGTTATGCAGTAAATCGGCTCATAATCCAGTAAAGATCGCAGGCTAGCATAACCATCTAGAGTTGATTATGGTCTGGATAGGGTAATTAATGTCTAATTAATAAATAAATAAATAAATAAATAAATAAAGACCTGCAATAGATAAATATAGCTCTTGCATAATGTATGTTTGATAAGCTAATCATATATTTAGAACCTAAATGATATCATACTCAACAGAATAGAGAAGGGGGCGGGGGTGACGTCCACTCAACACAAACTTGATCATTTCGGGATTAACCCATGGCTCAATTTAATTTCAATAATTCGCTTGCCCGTAGGGGTCTTTAGCAGTGGGAAAACCGACGAGGTTGGACAGGCAACCATAGTCCTTGTCAAGTACAAACTGGGAATCCAAACCACGCCACTTGACTTAGTGATAGACCTTATGATTTAACGCACACTCTTGTTCTTCGTTACGTACAATGAAATTGGGTTTAACGTCCTAGTTTTCTGCTCCGACTGGGCTAATAAAGACGGATATACGCCATACTACAGTGCGCTATGTACGAAATCTTACCCGGACAGCGGGTCATGGACTACTCTTATATCGAATTCCAACTGTCGGGGGTTCTTTTGCAATGACGTCAATCTGTACACCGGACGTCGGTTTTTCGTCTCATCCGAACCACTAGTACCACTGACAAAGAGAAACCACGCTGCATTATTTATAAAGCTAATCATTGTCGATTAGTTTATACGCCATACTCCATATAGAGTAGCACTTTAATAGTTTCGTATAAAAGCAAGACATAATTAATACACAAATGTATTCATGACTCAAGATGTTTATTTACTTTCTTCAGTTCAATTTCTTTATCTAATAATTGGTAACTTTAGTTTTTATTCACAACTTGCTTTCGATATTATACTCTACAGAATAGAAAGCGGCTCTTTAATCGCTTCGGGTGTAGTTTCCTCTTGTCAGGGGCGCAGGGCGGAGGACCAGACAAGGACAGCTGTCTAGTCGTTCGTATAGGACGAAAAACCGAGGTCCAATGTACACATTGGCGTGTACGTAAACGACCCCTTGGCAGTTGGAATTAGATATAAGAGTAGACCGTAGCGCCGCTGTCCGGGCAAAATTTCCCTCATAGCACACTGCATGGCGTATGCCCGTCTTCATTCGCACAGTCGGA